AGCCTCCGCAGCAGCTGCCCTGCACCCCTGGCAGCGCTCCAGGCTAAAATTAATGTCGTGCCTCCTGTGGCTGCCCTGAAGTGTCCCTTAAAGGGGCTTTGCTGGGGGCAGCCCCCATGGTGTCACCTCTGGGTCAGGGGGGCATGTGTATGGGTGGCTGTTGTCCCTTGAGCCGGGGCAAGGGTGGCACAGAGGGCTGGGTGTGCAGCCCCCCCAGCCCACCTGTGCAGGTGGGGTTTTCTCTTCACGGGGGAAGGCAGTGTGGGAGAAATGATGCCCAAACTGGGCAGTCCTCAAAAGCCTGAGAGAAATAGTTGTTTACTAGGGAAATTATTGTTTATGAATCTGCAAGCGAAGTGGCTCAGGAAAGACAGGAATTGTGTCTATAAATAACACCCAGAGAAGCCGCATTGTCCTGGGATGGCCAGCGAGCCTCAGGGTCCCACTGGGAACTCAGAGGGCAGCTGATGGTATTGTCTTGGATTTCTTCTATTCCAGCTGTTTTCATACAGAGAAACTTGAGGAAATCCAACAGACCAACCCACAGATCTATAATGGTTGGGATATCTCCACAAACACTGGGCACAGTGACATTTAGCATATTAATGAAGATTTATTTAACTTGTGCTGTGTTTTGATAATCTTCATCAACCTTTTCAGTGCTCTCCTGGCTTTTGTAAAATGAAGGTTTGTTTGAAATTAATGGTTTTGTGGGAAAAAAATCACCAACAAACCAACCACCAAACAAACCAACCACCCAAAGCTTCTGCCTAATCACGTGTTTATAGACATGTTCATTTGAAGGAGTGTTGGGATAACAGAGCTCTATTCTCCCACCGTGTGTCCCGTTGGTAGAGGTTGCCCTTGCGGGTGCTCTGAAGCCTTTCTGTGCGGTGCTGGGGATGCCCTTGGTGAGGACTGTGATGTCAGGGTGACACAGCCCGTGGTTGTGACTTACCACCAGCAAGCCTCAAGTCAGTACCACACGCTGCAGCATTTGGGGGCAAAACCTCTCAAGGGGGCAATGGTGTATTTACCCTGTTAATGTTAAGTGTTCATGAGATGCATGTGTCTGAGCAGTTCTTGACCATTTCAGGTGTGAACTGGCACAGACATGGGGTACTGCGGGCTGGGAAGTACTTTGGGTTTCCTTGTTGAGGTGGAACATTGCCTCTGGCAAAGCCTGGCAGGGACACCTGTATTGCTTTGCCCCTGCAGAGCTCGTGTGCCTGGCTGGCTTGGTGAGGGGAAGTATTTTAACTGCAAAAGGCTGCTGCCTTCCAACGCCATCAGTGCCTGTGCACTGCTGTCTTTATCAAACCACATGGCTTGCTGCCTGGAGCTTTCAGCGCTGCAATGGTTTTGTTCCAGCCCTTTGAGTTGATATAATACTGTGCAAAAATGGGATTGTGTTCCTTCATTTGGCTGAGGTGTCGCAGGTCTCTCGGGTGTATTCATTTTCCCTGAGAACTTGTGATGGTGAGGGCTGTGCCTTACTGCAGGTCAAAGACTGCCAGGCTCCTCTAACTCCTTCTGTTGCCTGAGGGATTTTTTCAGTATTTTTTTTTCTGGAGTCAGGGTTTTTTTCAGTATTTTCTTGGTACCTCAGTCTGGAAACTGTTTTTCTTTATTTCAGCTCTAGTGAAAGCGGATGTGGTGATGCCCTGGGTTTTGCTATATCTGTGGCTAAAACTTTGACTGTGGCTTGTCAGGGGACCCCCTGATCCTCCTGTAGGGAGGGAGAGGGCAGAGCTGGGGGTGGGAAAGTAGCCAAACCCATGGGGTATTGCAAGAGCAAAGGAGGCACCTGTGGAGTGGGGAAAAACTCTGTGAAGGTTTATGAGCGTAGGGTTGTGGGTTTAGATCTGGGTAGGTTGCTTCTGGAGAGGAGTGCCCACCAGCAACCCTGTCCTGGCTGCATTCCTCAGGGTAAAGGGATGCTGGAAAACCCTTCAGCAGCACTGGTTCCATGTCTCTGGGTCCCTCGCCAGTGGGGTGCCTCAGGCTGGCCCCACTCCTTGGTCTTCCCACAGCATTGGCTGCCTGTGGTAAAACATGCTCAGAGCTGGTCAGCTGTGGGAATACCCCAAGCCTGGGTTGAGACAAGCTGCCTGCTTGTCCTTGACCTTCAGAGGGTCCTTGGACCCTTGGTCAGAGACCTGCCCCCCTGTCTGTGGTGTCAGCACCGGCTCCTCAGCAGCAGCAGCTGGAAGAACCCAAACCCAGCACAGGCTGGTGTTGAAAGTAAAAAATTCTCTATGCCCCAAAGCTTTGGGCACTGGCTTTAAGGCCAGGGTGGGTCTGTCATGGCTGAATTCCTCTCTAACAAAATTTTGCAGCACCACTGCTGTGATGGCTGAGCAGATTGTGAAGGGTGTTTTTGCAAAATAAGCTGTTTTCCCCTTACCCTGAGCCGAAGGAACATGCTGGGGTGAGTGGGGCTGTGAGCGGAGGTGGCATGCATGAGTAAGAGCAGTGCTCGCTTGGCCAGGAACCAGCACCGAATTTAGGAGGCACAGCTGCTCCTGGCAGTGCTGTCCCCTGACAGACGGAGGAGTGCGACACGAGATATTTGCTCTGCTGCATTTTCCTTGACCCATCCTGTGTGGAAGGCTTTACACTGGGAAGGGGGGGTTTGATGGTCCGGGGACCTCAACCAGCTGCCCTGAGCCCCAGGGCTGTGTGAAGGGATGGCAAAGCAGACGTGGGGTCCAACATGTGCTTGTCCCTGCTTTGCTGCACCCTGCCCCACCTCTTGTAGGGGATTTCTAACAGCGTGAGTCACTTTCTGTCTTTAGGCTTGGGCTGGGCTGGTCCATGCTGTCTGCACCCGGGCACGCAGCTTTGGTGTCCCAGGAGTGGGAGTAGGAAAATGTGAACCCACATAGTAGTTAATGTGCAGATAGTAAGGGTCTCAAGTAGCAACGAGAGAGGGTAAATATTCTGTTGCACCATAGATGCTATAAATAAATCTATTTCGGAGTACTTTAAGACTGTGAATGGGACACCACGTAAAAGCTTCTGGTGTGCAGATGCTACAGTGGACTAACAGTAATATTAGTTTGTTAGTAACTAATGACAACCAGAAGTTTGACTGCCAAGTATAGATGATGAAAGAACAAAAGTTTTGGCAAATAGTGCTCCACTGGGGCTGGATATAGATGAGATGCACTGAAAGAATTTACTGTCCATGGCGTGTCTTGTGGAGACCCTCACTAGTAGCAGCTCACACTTCAGCTGTGCAGCAATAAAGTCATTGTGCCTTTCAACACAAATTTCAGCTTTTGTATAGCAAATGCATTCCTCCTTCCAAACCAGGGGCTTCTCCTTGCAGAGATTTTCTTGCACCAGCCCGCACAGGCTCTGAGCAAGCCCTAAGCTTCAGCTGGTCCTCTTGTCCCATGAGTGCAGCCACCCTCAGCCAGCCCTCCATCCATACATCTGTCCAGCTCTGAGCATGGATGGAGGGGATTTGAGCTCATGCAAAGAACGGGGCAGATGGAGTGTTCCTTGCACACATGAAGCACTCTTGAGTATTTTAAAACCCAGTTCCCCACCCCAGTGCAGGAATCTGGGGTGCCCATTACCAGAGGATGGCTCCTACCCTATAAATACGATATTGCTGGTGGCCACTGCACTGAGAAGCCCCTTTTATTGAGCTCTTTGCTGCTGCCATGATTTCTTCCCTCTTATGAGCAGCTCCTCTTGAAGCTTTGTGCCGCAGCACAGAGGGAGGAGGAGATGCAGCTTGTCCGCTGCTGGGGTCACTATTTCAGGCTAGAGCTTTCTAGAGAAGCAGGGCTTGGGTGTGTGGCTTGGTCCTCCTCATCCTAAAACCTTTCCAAACCATCAGGTATCCCTTAGGATATGAAGGAAACTCCACTGCTGCTGTTTAGCTTGGAGTGTTTTTCCTATGCTCCCTGTACATCAAGTCTTTGAAGGCTTTTTTTCTCTCAGGAAAGTGGAAAGAGTTCCGTACGCAGTGGAGGCAGGAGAGATGATCCAGGAGGAGCGGGGCTCGGCAGTGCAGGCCGTGCCTGCTCACCGCTACTCAGGTCAACTTCTTGTTCTCTGATGGACAGACCTTCTCCAAAACGGGTGCCACTGAGGCTGGCTTTGTCCTGACGCCTGGGGCAGGTGCTGCTCCCCTTGCTGCTTCTCTGCATATCCCAGGTGTCTGGGGGCACCTGTGGGAGTTGAAGCCCAGTTGCACTGAAATTCAAATATTTCACTTTGAGAACGTTTGTCAGAAAACCTTGTGACAAGTTTCCCTCTGCAGAAACAAATAGTTATTGTTGCCCCCCTGAACAGCCTTTTACATGATCGCAAGGGGTGTATTGCTTTTGGCAAATGTGTTATCAATACCTGGGCTGGCTGTGGGCTAGAAGGACTGGTGCTATGAATTGAGAAGCCTTCCAGAGGTCAGATAAATAACCTGCTGCTTGGTCCCAGCAAGTAAAATATATTTATCTTGAGCAGAAAAGAATAAAGCAGAAATAAATCTTGCAGAAATCAAAGGTCCTATGAAAATAGACCAGAATTGCAGTGAAGGAATAGTAAAGAAGGAGAAGAAATAGGGAGATTTTGCTGTGGAGTCCTCTGATAGCATGCAGTATGCTGTGGGAGAGAGGAGAGCCTGGTACAAAGTGATGTTGGCAAATTAAGTCTTAAAATAAAGCAGGAGGAATAACTCAGTGCATAAGTCCTGACCTCAGGGGCTTTTAATCCTTCAACTCAGTTTAGCATGTGTAGCAAGGCAAGGAAATGAATATTTTGTGTGAGTGGAAGGTGCTTCCAGATGACAGTGAGGGTAAAGGATCAGCTCTGCCTTCAGTGCTTGCAGAAG